CCTTGCAGGGCGACACATCGGGAAGAACAAAAAACGGCTCCAACTCGGACACGCCGACCACAAACTCGCCCGCACACACACAGACACACACATTCAAAAACTTAATCTCCAAAAGGTAGCTCAACGACACGTCGGGTACTCCACCTATCTCCAGCTCCTACACCAGAAGCTTTCCCACAATGAAATCAACCCTGAAAGCCGCAAGCCAGCAGGCCTGGTACTGCTCCAACGCATCGTAGACCTGCAATGCTTCGAGGGTTTCGGGTTTAGGGTGAAAAGTTAGGGTTTTGGATTGAGGGTTTAGGGGCTTATGGTTTAGGGTTTAGGGGCTGCAGGACTTGTAGCGTGAAGACGAAGAGCTGTGCAAAAAGACACGGCCGCGTGCGGCAAGGGAAGCTGACATCCCATGTGAGACAAGCAGGCAACCACGTAACTTGTGGTGGCACTTTGTGCTTCGGGCCTCGATTCGCCCCCATGTCCCAAAGAAGAAACCAAAAACACCCAGCTCCTCCAACCCCCACCCCTCCCAACAGAAAGAGAGCGAGAGAGAGAGAGAGAGAGAGAGAGAGAGAGAGAGAGAGTGAGAGAGAGAGAGAGAGAGAGCGAGAGAGGGTTAATAGTATCTCACAAAACCCTTGTCTCATCTTGCCCTAACAACATAGGGTTCATAGGGTTCATAGGGTGTATGGGGTTCTTAGGGTTCAGAGGGTATGTGAGGGTTCAGAGGGTATGTGGGGTTCTTAGGGTTTAAAGGGTTTATAGGGTTTATAGGGAATTTTACTTCCCTAAAACCTAAACCCTAAACCCTAAACCCCAGGAGCCTCATCTTCAGACATTCCCTTGTCGAAGCACTGTTGGATGAAGTCCATCTTGTCCTTGCATCTGGGTTTAGGGTGTAGGGTTTAGGGTTTAGGGTTTAGCGTTTGGGCCCACTTGGAGGTTCAAGGGTACATAGAAGTAGGTTTATAAGACGAGTACGGGGAACTACAAGTTATAATCTGAACCTCAGAGGGTTTAGGGTTTAGGGTTGTGGGTGGAGGGTTGCTACGGATTCTTAGTTGGTGAACTAGGTACCCTTGTTCAACCTCTTGAAGGCGGACATCATGTGCCTAATTCCCTCAGTCCCGAACCTGTACGCTAGATTGCTAGAAGGTTCCAAGGTGCTGGAATGTAGGGTTGTAAGTACCCTAAATAGGGCTCACTAGAGACACCATACTTCTAACCCTACTTATAACTACCCATGAACCTTCATGTCAAGATTTAGGGTTGTTTTCCGGTCAAGGGTCTTCACTTGCCCCGGATGCAAATGCACTTTTAGTTGGGTTTAGGGTTTAGGGTTTAGGGTTTAGGGTTTAGGGTTTAGGGATTAGGGTTTAGGGCTTAGGGTTTAGGGTTTAGGAGGGTTTAGGGCTTAGGGTTTAGGGTTTAGGGTTTAGGGTTTAGAGTTAGGGTTTAGGGTTTAGGGTTTAGGGTTTAGGGTTTAGGGTTTAGGGTTAGGGTTTAGGACTCAGGGTTCAGGGTTTGGGGTTCAGGGTGGGTTTAGGGTTTAGGGTTCAGGGTTTAGGGTTGGGGGTTTAGGGCTTAGGCCTTAGGGTTTAGGGTTTAGGGGGCGGCTTCGATTCGCGCACTCGCACGCAGTCAGCGCATGTCAGCGTGTGGGGCTTAGCGGCAATTTGGAGCTCGATGCAGAATGTACTTTGGGAGAGACACAGCACAGAGCCTGCTGAATGATGTACCTTGGAGGTTCATGGGTAGTTATAGGTACGGTTATAAGTAGGATAACTCTACTTATAGCCTTGTCCCTAAACCCTAAACCCTAAACCCTCAATTCTAAACCCTAAACCCTAAACCCTAAACCCAGCTTAGGGTACTTAGAACCCCTACTTCTAACTACCCACGAACCTCCAAGCAGACCAGCCCAAAGAGTAGAAACTGCTCTGCGACGCAGCGTCGGCTTCGATCTCAGCTTGGGTAGGGGGCACACCTGAACGCTTCAAGGATCGTGGGGTTTAGGGTTAGGGTTGAGGGTTTAGGGTTTAGGATTTCGGGTTTAGGGTTAGGGTTTGGGGTTTAGGGGTACTTGGGAGGTTCATGTGTAGCTATAAGTAAGGTTTTTAGTAGAGTAGCTATAGTGATAGCTGGTTATAACCTTATTTAGGGCACTTATAACTCTACTTATAACTTACCCATGAACCTTCAAGTAAACCTAAGTAAGGCAACAAGGACCCTGAATAAGGGAATATGACCAAGTTGAGCTGCAGCTACCCTATCTACAACCCTACGTATTGTAATGACATCCGAGTACTTTTACATGGGGGCGGGGGGTTAGGGGTGTGGGGGCCTTCCTACACCCTAAACATTCTTCGTGGGACCCTATTCAGAACAACGCCCCCTAGGAAGTTTACATGACCTTTCAAAAATGCGATTTTCTGTCGACTTTGAGCTTAGGGTTTAGGGGCTTAGATTAAGTTTTATGGTTGAGGAGCTTGGGAGATTAAGCTTTAGAGCTCAGGGTTTAGGAGCTCAAAACGTTCGGGCTTGTTTGCTTTTGTCGCTTAGGGTTCAGGGTTAGGCGGCACTGGGTGGCTCCTCCTGGGTAGTTGCGGAATTATGGTGGCACTAAATGCCCCATGATACCTACAGTCACTCTACATATCACTACCCATGAACCTACCCTAGACTCTCAACCATAGACCCTCAAGCAGACGGTAGCCCCACAGGTTCTGGAGCACTAGATGACACAAAGGGTCCTGCAAAGGCTCTTTGGAGCTTGAGGAACCCAACTCTAAAAAGCATCTGAAACGGAGCCCCAGACTCAGGGGTTTTCGGCTGTCACGCTCGCAAGTCTGATCAGGGGTCTACTCGGAGGTTCATGAAGAAATCACAAGTAGGGCGACAAGTGGGCAGGTATAGTCACACTAGGTTCTACCTTATTTAGGGTACTTATAACCCTGGAATCCCCGACTCGGACATCCAAAGTCTGGCGTGGGCACGCGCTTCGGTAGGCTTCGCAGGAGGGGTCTCCTTTGCTCATCAGAATTCCAAGCTGAAGGGACCTACGGCGGGACCCTTACAAGTGACCTCAGAGGTTCTTTAGGGGTCATTTAGGGGCTACTTAGCTATATCGGGACGATATAAGGAAAATGTAGGGGTTACATGAGAGAAGAAGATTTCCTCCTTATACCCCTTTAGATTCTAACGCGGCGCTCACAAGGGAACTTAGCTCTTGCTACAAACCCTAAACCCCTCAAACCCTAACCACCGGAAACCCTGAACTCCACAAACCCCAAACCAGTGAACCCTCAAACCCTAAACCTGACTCTGAACCTGACGAACATTTATCTGAGTTCGGGTTGGGGGATGCGGCGGCTGGTCTAGCCTGAGCGAATTATGTACATGGATACATATGTGTATATGTCTATCAATATATATATATATATATATATATATATATGGTACGCGCCCCCAGTTATCCACCTATTTGGGGGGGGATAGGTTACTTCAGACCTTCGTTACTTGAAAGCTTCAGTCTTTATATACTCTGATACTAATCTATTTTGATCTTGGGTAGTTACTGGTGTTTGTATAGTGAATAGTGTACTTATATTTCAAGGCCTCAATGGTCAAGCACGATGAGGGACACTATATATACATATACATATATGAGTGAGTGAGTGAGTGAGTGAGTGTGTCCGCGCGTATGTGTGTCTATATCTGTGTGTGTAAATGTTTCTCTGTGTGTGACCCCAAAAAACTCCCCGAAACCCACAACCGAAAAGGCCCCAAACCGCAAGGCCCCTTAAAAGTCTTACTAGGACGGCCCTTAGAAACCTCTGAACAATGTTGCTAGGTATGATCCTCTTAAACCCAATAAGGGAAATACAAAATTGTCCCAAGGGTCTACCTAGTAGCCCTGAACCCTAAACCCTAAACCCTAAGCAGCACTTGCACTTCAGGGTAAACCCTAGCTTAGGCCCTGCTGCCCAAACCCTGAGCAGCCCAGGATCATTCCATGGCATTGTCGATCGGGAGCCTCCAGTGTTCGCCTGCCCGCAACCCGCAAGAGGCAGCCGCCCGCGAAGGGTTTAGGGTTTAGGTTTTAGGGTTTAGGGTTTAAATAAATTGAACAAGGATGCCTGTCGCTGGTCCTCTGAAAACCCCAACAAGGGAAAAATGTATAATATCCCTTAAGGGGCCTACCCAGTATAGACCCTGCCGCCTCCAACCCCCCAGTCTAGGGCCTTGTACCTTGGACCCTCAAGGTTGTACTCCTGGGTTTTGGGGAAGCTGTCTAAAGATCCCTTGAGGTAGTATAAGGGCCATACTAGGAGTATAGTAAGGGGAACCATTAGGGGTACAACCTTATGGGTACGAGCCTGAATCCCGGCTTACTCCCTTCAAAGGGTTCTGAAGTATGGGCCTTTGGGCTGTATAGGGTATGTGAGGGGTACATAAGGGGTACCCTGGCCCGACTAAGGGACCCCTAAACCCTACACCCTAAACCCTAAACCCTAAACCTACACCCTAAACATCCCTAAACCCTAACCCCGAATTACACCCTAAACCCTAAACCCCCCTAACCAAGGCACGGCCTCTTTCCGCCGGCATCTGGCTACCAACTGCCAGGGCCACGAGCCCCCCCGATCCGGGCAACGGGACTGCGAGTCGAGGGCATCACAGGGGTCGAGGGCTTCAGGGTTTAGGGTTTAGGGTTTAGGGTTTAGGGCTTAGGGCCTAGAGTTAAGGGTTTACGGTTTAGGGTTTAGTAAGTAGGGGTTTGGGACTCATTGGGCTTAGGGGCGTTCTGGGCTGAGGGCAGTGCATCGACTCGGCGTCGGGGCCGCCAGAAACAGCTGATCTCAAAAATCACCCGGGGCTGCTGTCAGTGCTGCATGTTTAGGGCTTAGGGCTTAGGGTTTAGGGTTTAGGGTTTAGGGTCTAGGGTTCAGGGCTCTAACCCAGCCTTAAGACAGCCTCCTCGAGCCGCTCACTTGTGCGAATTAGCCCAGGGTCTTGAACGGGCTCAGCTTCTCGTCATAGTATTCTTTGTTCCAGCGGATGGGCTCATCTGAGACGCCGTAGACCTTCGCATATCTCTCGCGCAGGTCCTTGTTGTACTGCTCCCAGATAGGCTTGAATGCCTGGGATGAGGCGGAGAGTTGGTAGGTGCCGTCCGTCGTGCTCGGGATTCCCGTGCTTTCAATGTACAGGTCAACCTTGTACTTGCGGTAGGTGCCTGCACCCGTAGAGGCTTCGGCGTACTTAGGGTCCTTGCCGTCGGTTTCCCGGTTGTACTTCCTGTAATACGCCTTCGCCCAACGGAATTGCTCCTCCTGGGTCTTGCAGTCCACACGGATATCGCAGCCCTTGGCCAAGATTTCCTCGTCCGAGAGCTCCTTGGCGGCCGGGGCCGCGGGCGCCGCGTCGGCCGCGGGGGCGTCCTCAGCCAAGGCGGGCGAGGCGGTGGCCAGGCTCAGGAGGAGGCCGAGCACGACGCCGCCAAAGAGGCCTGGCAACGCGCCGACATTGCTGCTCTCCCCGGCGGCTGCCACGAGATCGGCCTGCTGGCCAGCTCGGATGCCAGTCCGAGACGGAGCTGCGCTGGGCAGCAAGCCGGGCACGAAGACGAGGCCTCCGGTCAGGGCGCAGCTGCCCACCAGCGCCAGCACGGAGCGACGAGCCATGGCCAGGAGTGAACAAACTGAAGGCTGAAACTGAACCGACAAGCTTGAGCCGTAGCCCTGCACAGAGCAGATGAATTCACAAGCCCCCCAGCCCCATTTGGGGTTACGGCTTGGCAGGCTTGAGTTGCCATGTCGAGCCGAGCCCTGAACTCGTGCGGACACCAACGTGTCGCAAACCGCGACCTGCCACCCCTCAACCCTGCAACCCTAAACCCCAAACCCTAAACCCTGTAATAACCCCAAACTCTATATTCCCTAAACCCAAAAACCTAAAAAGAAACCTCGACCCTGCAACCCTGAACCCCAAACCCTAAACCCTGTAACTCCCACCCTGTAGTCCCTAAACCCAAATCCCTATAAAGCCTTGACCCTCCACCCGAAACCCCACACCCTAAACCCTGTAACCCTTTAAACCCTAAACCCTGTAAATCCCAAACCCTAAAAGCCCTAAACCCTAACCCCTGTAACCCGAAACCCTGCAAACCCTAAACCCTGCAAACCCTAAACCCTCAACCCTGTAACCCCAAACCCTGAAACCCTGCAAACCCCAAACCCTGAACCCTGTAACCCTAAACCCTCAACCCTCTAACCCCAAACCCTGAAACCCTGTAACCCTTAAACCCTAAACCCTGTAAACCCAAAAGCCTGTAACCCTAAACCCTAAACCCTGTAACCCGAAACCCTGAAACCCTAAACCCTAAACCCTAGACACCCTAAACCCTCAACCCTATACACCCTAAACCCTGTAACCCTAAACCCTAAACCCTCTAACCCTAAACCCCAAACACCCTAAACCCTATAAACCCTAAACCCTAAACCCGAAACCCTGAACCAAGTGCACCCCGTGAGCGGCCTCCCGGCGGCGCGCTGCTTTCATGGCTGCCAGGGTGTGGGCATCCTTCCAGTTTTTAAGGGCTTTAAGGGGGGCGTTAAGGGGGCTTTAAGGGTGGTTGTTTAAGATTTAGGGTTTAGGGGGTTTTAAGGGGTTTTAAGGGGTTTTCAGGGGGTAAGGGTATTATTTTAAGGGGTTTTAAGGGTATTGTTAAGGGTGCTAAGGGCTTTTAAAGGGCTTTAAGGGGCTTTAAGGGGGTATTAAGGGTTTTTGTTTAAAGGGTGTTAAGGGGTTTTAGGGCTTTATGGGGTTTAAGGGGCTTCAAGGGCTTTAAGGGGTTTTAAGGGTGTTTACAGGCGTTTTGAAGGGTGTCAAGGGCTTTTAGGGTTTGAAGGGTTTTTAAGGGTTTCAATTAAGGGCTTTAAGGGGTTTTAAGGGTTTAAGGGGGGGCTCAAGGTTTACGATCTTGGGCTTTGCGTATTATAGGGGTTGGCGGTTTTGGGGTTTGGGGTAGTTTTAGGGGCGGGGGAGCGGGAGAGGAGTAGATAGGGTTTGAGGTCTTAGGGTTAAGATAGGGTTTAGGCTTTCCTTCGGGGCCTTCTGTGGATTCAGGGTTTCTGGGCGCTAGATTGGAGGTCATGCACGGGAGCCCTGGTACGCTTCTGTGGTTAGGGGTTTAGGGCTTTGGGTTTCCAAAACACACACGACATAAAAGCACAGTTTGTTTCTCGAAAAGTCGACGCAGGAGGGGGTTGCACCAGCGCGGCCAAGCATCCGTTGGCGCGGTGTCCTGTGCACCTTGGGGCCCGGAATTCGAGCAAGGTCTTGTAGGGTTTAGGGTTTAGGGTTTAGGGTTTAGGGTTTAGGGTTTAGGGTTTAGGGTAAGTGTCGGGCCCGTAAATGGAGGATTTATGGAAATTGTGCAACTCAGGCTCCCGGATCAATAGGGCTTTGGGAATGAAGGGCCTAAACCCAGGTGCGAGGTCCCCGAAGGGAGCCCAATACCCCTTAAGTAAGGAATATACCCTTAAAGTCATATTCAGGATCCCTTTATGATTTAAAGTCCTTAATTAATTTCCCTTTATAATTTAAAGTCCTTAAGTAATTAAGGGGTATTGGGCTCTGTGGCCACCGCCCTCCGAGGTCCTCCAGCTACTACGGAGTTTTGCGGGGTCTTGGGCGCTTTTGGTTTAGGGTTTAGGGTTGAGGGATTAGGGATTAGGGATTAGGGTTTAGGGTTTAGTGTTTAGGGTTTAGGGTTTCCCCTTTCCCCTAAACCCGTTTTTGAACCCAGACGCTGGTCCTCATCAGCTGAGCAGCTGGGAGCAGACTACACACCCTTAACCTCAACCCTCCCTCCTAAACCCTAAACCCTAAAGCCTCAATCCTAAACCCCAAACCCTAAACCCTAAACCCTCAATCCTAAACCCTAAACCCTAGCCCTAAACCCTAAGAAACTTCGGGCGGGTTCTCACATCTTCGGCCTCCCAAGCTAAGCTAAGCTCTGTGTTAGAGCCGAGAGGCCCCAGGGGCACGTGCTGCGCTGAGCCTTTGCTGGCCGCGCACGTTTGTGAGATTTGGGGTTTGGTTAGAAGGGTTTAGGGTTTAGGGTTTAGGGTTTAGGGTTTAGGGTTTAGGGTTTAGGGCACAGGGGTGTTGGGGTGTTCCTTTGTCATTTTTCAGGGGCCTTAAGGGATTCGGGTTTAGGGAGGTTATAAAGGGTTTAGGGTTTAGGGTTTAGGGCGTAGGTTGGGTTTATCTGGGGTTTAGGGTTTAGAGGGCTTAGGGCTTTTAGCTTAGGATTTTCTTTCGGGAGGGCGGGAGAGGATGGCCTTGGGGCTCGATACGGGTTTAGGGTCTAGGGTTTAGGGAGGCAACCGTCCACTCAAGTCGGTGTTTCGAGTTTTCGGCTTCTTGTGGCAAAGGTCCCGTAACCCTAAACCCTAAACCCTAAGCCCTTCATTTTGAAAGGGATGCCTAAACCCTAAACCCTAAACCCTAATCCCTAAACCCTAAACCCTAAACCCTAACGAAGCTGCTTAAGTTGGGGCCCTTGCTTGCAACCTAAGAACCTACATGCAAGAGTCTGAAACTCAAGTCCCAAAGCCGTACGCAAGGCCTTTAAGCCCTCTAAGAATAATTCAGCATACCCGAAACCCATGTCCCTTAATCTCTAAAGAGAGAATATAAGGGAGGATGTTACCACACCCCTAATTTCTTTGAAGGGTATGCATTAGGGGTATGTTAAATATTTCGTAGAAAACTCCAATCGGCTGCAGGATTTAGGTGTTGAGGGCTTAAAACTTGGGCTTTATAGAGTTCAGGGGGTATTTTGCCACATCCGGCCGGCCGTCTCGCAGGGCTTCTTGCCAAAGGGAGTGCCTAAACCCTAGACGTTCAGTGATTGCACCTGTGAACGAAGGTGAAGCGAAGAAAGTGGGCATACAACAAAGATTCTAACTCCTTGGCCTTCCTTGGTGCTACTGTCTCTTCGGGTCTGCTCCCGATGGTCTAGGCTTTAGGGTTTAGGGTTTAGGGTTTAGGGTTTAGGGATCCCCACTATCCCCGGAACTATTCATACTCGAGGTTCAATCATTAACCAAGATCGGGGAGGAAGTCACTCAACCCCAAACCCTAAACCCTTTCTAAAAACCCTACACCCTGAACCTCGACCCTAGCAACTAAAGGTGCATCTCCAGAAACTCTGACCCCGAAGTACTCAAAAGAATGGCCGTTAACCCCAAACTTAGGGTTTAGGAATGGCATTCAACCCCCAATTTAGGGTTTAGGGCTGAAGGGAAATTACACGACGAGTGTTCTTCTGAGCCATTTCGTGGTTCGGGTCTCCCAAGAAGCCTGTAAACCTTCTGCACCTGCAGGAGTGCTGTGTACCCTAAACCCTTAACCGAAACCCTACACCCTAAACTTCCCTAAACCCTAGACCCTTAACCAGCCGAGATGCGTACTTGGACATGGCAAGGGGCGATGTCTGTGATGGTGGGGCAGAACGCGATTTGTTGCTCGGCCAAACGCTGCGGACCACGGAACGTCGTTTAGAAGCCTCATAGGTTGTTATAAGTAGGACTTGAAAGTACCCTGAACAAGGTTATCACATGTACCCCCCCTTTGGGGGGATCCCTAAACCCTAAACCCTGAAATTTGGGTTGGCGTCTCCAGACTTGGCGCATTTCAACTCACCTTAGGGTTTGAGGGTGTTAGGGTTTTAGGGTGTAGGGATTCGGGGTTAGGGTTTAAGGTTTCTTGCCACCTGCCTAGCAGCCTCGCAAACCACACCGCAGGGATGCAAAGTGTCCAACTTGAGTCTGTGAAGGGTCCAGGGTTTAGGGTTTAGGGTTTAGGGTTTAGGGTTTAGGGGGCTTTAGGGATTAGAAGCACCCAGGAACCGTCAGGCAATCCGTAGGTGCGAGCGGGAATCGTGAGGTTCGTGACCTTCGGATCTGAAAGGCAGGCATGCAAACCACAGGGAGCTGGGACGTACAGGGTTGGTTTAAGCTTTGGGGTTTAGCAGGGTTTTAGGGCTTTGTGCAAGTGTGTCTTGGGCGGAGCCTTGTTTTGCACGCGCAGCCGCTGCTGTCGTGCAAACGTCTCGGTCCACGAGCACAAGGCCCACCTGATCCCTCATCTAGCCTAACTTGAAGGTTCATGGGTACTTAGAAGTAGGGTCATAAGCAGGGTAACCCTAGGTAGGAGTGCTTATAGCCTTACTTAGGGTACCTATAACCCTACTTATGACTATCCCTGAACCTCCAAGAAAGCCTGTCAAACTACATATGATCACCTTTTCCAATGTTTAAAGACTTTGCTCGTAACCTTCGAGTAGGCCCTAAACCCTAAACCCTAAACCCTAAACCCTAAACCCTAAACCCTAAACCCTAAACCCTAAACCCTAAACCCTAAACTGTGTCGGCCCGAGCTCAGCTGGGAGAGCAGCCAGGTTCCTCCACAGGTGCCAGGTCCAGGTCCTTGGCGACTCGGGAGCCTTTGGGGTTCAGAGGGTTTAGGGTTTAGGGTTTAGGGCTTAGGGTTTAGGGTTTAGGGTTTAGGGTTTAGGGCTTTGGGCTTGGGGTTTAGGGTTTAGGGTTTAGAGTTTAGGGTTTGGAGGGTCTGGGGTTTGGAGGCTTCAGGGTTTGGGGGAGGTTACAAAGGG